GGCGGATTTGATCACCCTAAGTGAACATCTCCGCACCAGTGGGGATGGCGGAGTCGCTCGATCGCAGAGGAAGGATGTACAGTACGCACGGGGACTGCCAACCGGGACAATGCAGCTGCGACCGTACTCGTGAATGTCTGTCTATGAGACATGCAGCATCTGAAGCTGAGGCGGGGAAAGTTTCCCCGAACAGGCGATGATGACCATTACTACCTGTGCTCAGGATACGTAGAATCAAGTGCACCAATATTTCACAGGTACAGTACGTACAGTACCAGAGTACAAAGTAGGGTTTCCGGTCGGGGCGTTGCTCCTACCACGTGACCGACCTTTTGCAAAACCCCCTCATGTCGACCCCACAGTTTTTCTTCCCCGCTCGCCTGTAATCCCATCAAAAAGGACATGGTCCAATTCCACGGCCATTCGCCATGGAGGACGAAAGAGCCAACCCAGGCAAAGTGAGGAAGAAGAGTGCCCCGGCTCATCGCAAGTCTCTGTCTTGTGAATATTGCAGCAGATCATTTGCGCGCCTGGAACACCTTCAGCGCCATCTCCGCACCCGTTGAGTAACCCCCTCTCGAACTCTCCTCAGGAGGCTTTTGCCCGTCTACACATGAGTTTCTGACTGTCTGATCCCATAGATACCAAGGAGAAGCCTTTCTCGTGTGATATATGCTCCAAATCATTTGCCAGAAGGTATACTTCTCATCCCCGTGGCATCCAGGTTCATGCGCGCTAATATGGGGGAAATTTCGATAGTGACCTGCTCGTACGACACGAGCGGCTAGTCCACCCTGCGGAAACTGCCGCCGGTCGAGATCACCGCACGCAGAACAACAACCAGGATGTTCCTCAGACGCCCTCATCTATAATCCAGCCTTCTCATCATGAGTCTCGTATGCTAGAGCTTGCCGACGCTGTCCCACTACACACGCAACCGATTCCACAGCCTCCGCCAGAAGTGCAAGTGCAACCCCCTCCCCTAGTGGAAACAACCCATTTCAATCCATCGTGGGGCTATGACCTGAATCTTCTCTCGCATGCTGCGAGTCATGTTGCTCTTGAGGGTGAACAGGAGAGTCTTGAGTCATTACGGAAATCCTCGCAAAACGTGGCGCCTCCTCAGCCGCTCGCCCATATTCCGGAAAGAGCGATAACTGATAATTATGGCGTGGAACCCTCGATCTTGGACCTTGCTGATCTAGGCGACCCCGTCCAAGACTTCACTGTCTTCTTGGAGAGTGTGGGACTCTCATCAGACTGGGACTCGGGGGTTTTCTCCTCGGTCGAAGAGCCGATGTTGCCGACCACACTTCCCATGGAGACTAAGCCGTCTGTTCGCGAGATGGGGAGGCTCGGTCCGGAGCTTCACAGTGATCCACGAACGGCAGCAGATGACCCACCATCATTCTCGAATTTCGGGTCCCGATTGCCATCCTTGCAGCCAGAACCGCATGAAGTGGATGATCGCCTTGGCTTCGCGGATGAGGGACCTCGCGCCGCGTGGGATATAACCAATGCTGATCGTCAAGTTTTCGTCTCTAAACTTGAGGCATTTGCTTATATACTGCCCAAGAACTTTGTCCCACCCTCAAGGCACGCTTTGTCGCGCTTCTTTGCCGGCTATATAAATGGATTGAATGAACACCTCCCCTTTATTCATGTCCCCACCCTTTCTGTCGCAAAATGCTCTCCGGAGCTTACTCTTGCATTGGCAGCAGCGGGGTCCCATTACCGCTTCGAAAACAACCGAGGGATTGAGCTATTCCATGCGGCAAAAGCCATCCTGCTTCAGCGTCTTCACAGAAGAGATAGCAAGCAAGTCGCCTGCCCGACATGGAACTATTTATCACCGGGATCGGGTTTTCATAACTCTCGTGACTCCTCCACCACATCTAACCATGCCAGTAGCCCGTTTCAGCAACACCATCAAGCCCAATCTCACCATCACCACCACACCCCGTATCCAACAGATCCCTCGGGCTACTCGGCGGAGGACTCAGATGCCCATATGGAAGTCATCCGAACCTTCCTTTTGCTCACGGTTTTCGCTTCTTGGGAAAGACACCCCGAATTACTGAGGGAAATCCTCTCGCTTCAGAGCACTCTGGCAAGACTGGTCAGAGAGCATGGCCTGTCAGAGCCACCTCCTAGCCCAGATCCTAACAATTGGGAAGAGTGGGTCCGGAGAGAAGGCAACCGACGCACGAAACTCATCGTGTATTGTTTCTTCAACCTACATTCTATTATGTACAACATCCCCCCTCTGATTCTGAATGCGGAGTTAAAATTGAACATGCCGTGCTCGCATGATGTCTGGAAGGCAACCAACGCGGCTCAGTGGCGGCGGGTGGCCCGCATACGCCATGGATCTGATGTCCCCTTCCAGGAGGCTTTTGCTAAATTGTTCCTCAAGTCGAATTTGTCGGGCCCGACCGCACCCATATCTCCCCTCGGAAACTACATTCTCATTCACGCTCTCATCCAGCAAATATTCTTTGCACGCCAGCTCTGTCTCTCTGCACCGACTATGCAAGGTACCAGCTTGAGGGGCGAAGATCTGTCTGTCCTAGATAATTCTTTGAGCGCCTGGAAGGCACTATGGAAACGCACTCCCGAGTCCAGCATTGATCCACAGAACCCAGCAGGACCAATTGCATTCACATCGACCGCTCTGCTGGGCCTCGCATATATTCGATTGCATGTGGACCTGGGACCCTGCCGTCGCCTCATGACGCAGGATCCAGGCCAGATAGCAAGGGCCCTCAGTGAATCGCCGCTCATAGCTCGGAGTCCTCGCCTAATTATGGCTCTACTACATTCTGCTCACGCACTTTCGATTCCGGTGCGTCTAGGCATCGACTTCGTCGCCAGAACCCATTCTTTCTTCTGGAGCATTCAGCATTCCCTCTGTAGTCTGGAATGTGCCTTCCTTCTCAGCCGATGGCTGCTCTCAATACCAGTGACCCATGCTGAGCAAAGGCTCTCAGACCACGAGAGAAAGTTACTCCTCTGGATCAAGAGCATGATGGACGAAACCGACATGGCTGTAGATCCGCCGGGAGCACCGGATATGGATTTCATTGCCAATCCATACAAAGCAAAACAGCTAAGTGTGGCTATCGTTCGCGTGTGGGCACGAACCTTCAAGGGAAACACCAGCTGGGCCATAGTAGACCTGGTTGGTTCAAGCCTAGATGCCTATGCTGATCTTCTTGAAACCACAACATGACCGCTCCACGCCGTGGAATTACTATGGGACACTGCAGCGTCCTTTGGCTTGGACATTTGCTTGTCACCAAGGCCCTCCGAACAATAGCTTCCGATTCCTAGATTGTCATGTTGATCCTTTGGCTATTCTACTGGGAACGATATATCATGTTGCTGTATACCCACGCTGCTCGAAGTCTTCATATTCCCTTATTACCCCTGTATATAGATAGGTTATGATTTGCTATGTCTTGCTATGTCTTCTGGGGCAGAGCGAACTCCTGCGCAGTGGTCACTCGCCTGTGACATGAGTCTCAATCTGCCGACTATGGCAGGTGCTTTCCGGCACGGGAGGGAGTCTTTAGGCTCTGATACCACGAAGGAACAGGAACGTCATCGATGCTCTTCCCCGCATGTGATAGTTATTGCAGGTCCTTCTGGAGAGTCCCTTTTGCTATGTGACCTGGTTCCCAATTTGAGCAAGGCGCCGAAAAAGCAATATGAGTTATTGAATGATCCGGCGTCAGAAAACCGCGAAGAATCACAGATTCTGTTCGAGTGCCTGCTTCAATCTTCCAAGTAGGACGTAAGCTATATGCCGAGCTACCGCAAGGTCAAGATCAAGATCTCCTTCCAACCCTGCCATGGTTCCTCGTAACACTGGATGGCACGAACCGCAGCGCAGACATGGACTTCTCCAGCTCGGCGATCTCCATCTCATCGGCGACCGCGGGGGTCGCGAGAGTCTGTTGCACACCCGAGTTCGCGCTCGAAAAGGACCCAGAAGTCGGTCTGTTCCTCAGCCGCCCTTCCTGGGGCGAGGCTGGAGTAGTAGATAGACGGCGCCGGTGCGTCTTGGTTGGCCGCAACAACGAGGTCTGTTTGTCAATCCCATCATTGACTATGTAGAAATTGTATGTCTGCTCGTCCGTTCTGGGAATTAGAACAAGCCCACCAAAAGGGACGCCGGAGTACGCGGCATACGACGGGAAGGGCCACGCCCATACCTTGGGAAACATGTGCTTGTCGATGAGGTGCATTCTGCGTTTCTGAGGTGTCGAGCATTTGCGCTCGCAGTCCTCGATGAAGCACCCGTACTGGAATTCCCCCCCAACCAGCAATGCAGGGTCAGCGATTTAGGCCAGACAAAAAGGTTAGGTGGTTTAGGTTGCGGGAATGGAAATGGAAATCCTCATACCGTCTTCTCGCCTCGTTCCCGTCGCGTAGCGACGATGGCGTCATGGTTCTCTTCGATGTGAAGATTCAGGAAACGATCCGTGGGGAAATTCTTCCCACATTGGGAGCAGCGGTTGACATGTGACTGCCGGTAATGGACCTCGTAATCGTCGTAGGAGGCGAAGGCGATGGTCTCGCGGTGCGGTGGGAGGGAGCAGTGCATGACTTCGGCAACCGGAGCGGCCGTGTCTGGTAAGTGCACCTTGGAGCGTCCGAGAGAGGGCGCGGTGGAGGATGCTGGGGATGCTGGCCAGGACGGACCCCCATCCTCCTCGGACGACAACAGATCGGCGGCGGCGGCGGCAGGCGAGTCGGAGTCGCTGCGGGCGCGTTTGATGGACATGTTGGCCGAACTTGCTGTCCGTCCTGCGTTTGAGGAGAGAATTTGCAACAGTGATAGGTCAGTTGCGAGGTATTAGTTCACTCTGCAGCAATGGCGTGACACTTGGACCATCCATTGGTGGAAGGGAGGTCAATCTTTCTGCCTGTGCAGATGGGTCAGGATTTATTCCAGTTGCTGTTGGGGTGGAGTCAGTACTTACATAGTTGTCTAACGACGAAGCAGTGAGTCTGAGAGGAACTCGTGCCAGTCTTTTGACCATGTATCTCGAAGTCGAAAGTAATTCAATTCAGGTAAGCTGGAGATGTGGAAGTTATAATCCACCTGATCTATACCTACTAGTAGTCCGGCCACGGCTGACTCTATTGGGTGGATAGGCCTGACCGCCTGCCTCTCCGTTCCTCCCGCAGTGCCGCATTATTCTTACCTTAACTAGATTCTATTTTGTCTGCCTCGAGAAGAAAAGTTCCCCCCCGTCATAAAGTTCTCATGGGATTTTCCCTTCAGCGAGCGGCGGCCTTCAACCCCTCCGTTGTTCGTCCTGAATTGGATTTATCACTACCCTCCCTTTGGAGCTTCTCTTAACTTTCTTTTCTTCTCACTTCTTCTTTTATGTGTGCTGCCAATCGGGGTCACTGATTCACAACCCCCTCCTCTTCCCTGACGTTCTGGAAATTGCATACCGTCCCCGCTCACCGCGCTCGTTCTGTATATACTATCACTAACTGATGGATCGTTCACTGCCCTTGTCGCCCGCACGCTCTCAACCAGCCATAGCCATCTGACGGCGAAGTCAACGGTGGAGGTGAAGCGGGCTCCGGTGATCTCATCTCCTGAGCATGGCGTCCGCGTTCCAGGATACGTGGCAGTCAGTCACCCTCGCGTTCTCCCCCCGCCCTCTGCGTCGGTCTAATCCTTGCATCGCACAGAACTGCGCTCAATCTCGAGAAAGAGCTTTTGAAGAGCCTTGCCGAAAAAGAGCCCACGTTTGCCGAAATCTCCCATCACCTGTCGGAGTCAGTAACTGAATTCCCTTCCGCCGTCCTCCTGTTGCGCGCAAAACTGATCTGACCGTTGTCTTGTCATCCTCGTCCGTCGCAGACTTCGCTCCGCTTGCCAAAATGCTATTCTTCAGGACCTCGACGCCGCCCGCTCCGTGGATGTCGAAGGACGCCTCTGGGATAGTCATCTCAAAATCAACACCCGATTCCGTAAATTGCTGTCTCGCGTGAGTCCTACGGTGGCCCTGTCTGCTTCCGTCTCTAATCCCTGGTGTGCGATGGCAGTTCCGCGAGGAAAACGGGAAGAAGAAGAAACCGGTAGAGAAACGGAAGCTCGAGAAGCACTACCTCGAATTCATCAAATCCAGTCAGCGATTCTATCGAGGCTACATCCAACAATTGTCCTCCCATGTCGGTGGGATCCCGGAGCTGGAAAAGGTTGCCCGGAAATTCAATTTCGACAGTGAGCAAACTGCCGGTCCCGTCAACTTTGGCGAACCCACCGTTTTCTGGAGTCTAAACCCTTCACAGATCTGTCGGCGGAGCCGCCCTTGCAACCTACGGAAGCCCTCAGAAAGCGGATCCTTCAATCATGCCATGCGACTTTGATTCGTCTCGGCGATCTTTCCCGTTATCGCGAGACCGAGCTGGTCACAAAGGAGCGCAATTGGGGGCCCGCGATCGGTTACTATGACCTGGCTACTCTGATATACCCAGCCTCTGGCGCGTCGCATAATCAGCTAGCCGTCATTGCATTGGCTGATGGCAATCACCTTCGCGCTACGTATCATTTGTATAGGGCTCTAGCAGCCCAGGAGCCGCACCCGTCAGCTAAGGGTAACCTGGAGATCGAGTTTAGAAAAGTCATGAGTGCATGGGCCAAGCGGGAGCTGATCCGTCCCGAAGATGCTGGGATTCCCGGCAGAGCATTGGCTCCTTGGTTTGTATATCTGCATGCGCAATGTTATAAGGGGGTCGATTTCCCAGAGCATGACGAGCTGGAGAGCGAAGTACTCAATCAACTCGCTGTTGACTTGAAGGAACGCTCGCTCGAAGGCACTTTACAGAAATTCGTTCTAATCAACATCAGCGCAGAAGAATTCTCTAGGTTACGCTCGAACGGTAAGTCTTCTAATGGCGTAAATGTCCAAGTGTCATGCACTGAACCAAGATTTAGAGGAGTCCGTGTCCAATGCGCGCGCTTTCTTTCAGCGGATCAATGTGAAGACGTTCTTCACCCTGCTTCAGATTCTTCTTGCAGAAGTAGAGCGATTTGCGGTTGAAGACTCGAGCAACAAAGACGCGCAGACCGGTCCTGACAAGGTCACTGTGGTCGCTCGTCGGGTTCTTCCCGCACTCCGAAACTACAGCTCCTGGTTGCTCACGGTCAGCCACTTGCTAGCAGCGCACAAACAAGAAAAGGATACACCTCTGGCGGTTCAAATCACGGAGTTTTGGAAGATATACGCCAACACATTGACTCTTCTGGCCTCAACTTTCGACGTAGTGCACCTTCCCGAAATCGACTATCTTTTGGAAGAAGACGAGGAGACTCTGGCCTTTGCGCCCCTGAGCAAGGACACAACTTGTCGCCGATACCTGGGTTCCAATGGTCAACAGAAGCCTCGAATTAACGACCCAGGTGTGGAACGTAATCACCCCAACATGGAAATGCTCTACCGCATCCGCGAGTTTGTGATCGATGGCTTGGATTTGGTAGTCAGCAACAAAATCCCCATCGCACTTGTTGATGACGAAGACAAGAAGACCTTCATCTACAAGGAGGAAGACCTCCCTTCGCAGTTGTTTGCCAGTCCCGCGGGGCACAATCACACGCTGTCCTCCGCGAGTGTTGAGCGCGAGGAAATACAACAAGCCAACCTCGATCTAAACCACGCTCCAGACGCTCCGAGTGTTTACGGTGGATCGCAGTCGGCATCGATGTCTGCCAGTATGAACCGCATACTCGAAGGCGTGGAACGTCTGGTTGATTCGGACACGTACGAGAACGCCTCGAGCGTGCCAGAAAGCCTGACTCTTCCGCAAGGTGGTACCCGGCAGCGGCCATCAAGTCAGTACTTCGATCCGAGCACGGAGACAGTCTTCCGCGAGGATCTTCTTCCTCGGCAGACTCCGGTCGCCCCTCCAGGACTTGCGCCGCCCGTGGCCAGCGGCTCGGCCCCTCTTGCCCGTGTTTCGTCATCCCAGCCCTATACTGCACGGCCTGCGCTTCCCAGCATTCCCAGCATCTGGAACACAACCCTATCTTCCAGCCTCGGTGGTGATGCTCCCTCTCCTCGAACCCCTCCTGGTCTCGGACATCGGTACCCAACTCATTCACTATCGGGAAGCATCGGCAGCCCGTCGAGCCACTACCCATCTCACGAGTCACTTGCCAACGAGCTACTGCTTCGCCAGAGTCTGATGAACCAGGTTCCAGCCGCTGGATATCTCCACCGCATCCCCGGCCCAGGCACAGGCACGGTCCCCTCCTCCTGGATACCCTCCTCGAGTCCATCAACCCAGAGCCACCGGCTTTCCGGTCTTGCATGGGACCGAGCACTTCTGGAGACGGGTGTCAGTGGGGGGTCGATCGCTCTTCCCACCAACCAACCGTCGGCATCAGCACCAAACATGGGCTCCCCTAGCGGTCTAATCAACTCATCCTGGGCCAATGATGCCTTCCTTGCCAGCACGTTGTCCTCCGGCGCAGGCTACCCTAGCTCTTCTGGCTTCAACAGCAGTGCCCGCCAATCTTCTCCACAGTACGGTGCTATTGGTCAGAATAGCACTCGCTATGGCCACGGCGGTTGATCCTGTCGACGTGCTTTGTCTAGTAGATGAATCGCCATGACTTCTGTCGAATTTTGCCGATTATGCGATTGAGACCAGCGAATGACAGCGGGTTCCCAACAACCTCAACCTTTCTGCTCGTCTCTCTTCTCTGCTAGGATCCCCTCTCTAGATCCTTTCAGTCGCCGATATACGCGTAGTATTTCCGCATATACACAGACCTGAAATGGACAGAGAGACGAAAGCAGATGACCGATTGAACGAATGAACAAAGCGGATTCTCAGTATGGATAATGGCGATTGAGCCTCGGAGGCAGACAGGACTAGCAGTACATAGCCAGCTGCAATCGTCCAACTCTCCTTCTTGCTATAGCTATAGATTCAGCTCAAGCCAGGTTGCGGAAGTGGTCGAACCAAACATGCAAACATAGGCCGGGCGAGAATGGTATGGTATGGGCGTCTGGGCATCCTTGATTGGTCTGCTTTCCATTGTGTGAGAAAGTTACGGGAAAGAGGGGAGAGCGGAGAGCGGAGCTGGAGGGTGCAAGCATCAGGTCATTCGGATTTCTCCGTATCGCGTTACCATTCCCATACTACTAAGCTCGATTCACCTAGTCTTCTGAGGCTGGATGGATACTAGCGCCAATGGCAGGCAACCTTGAAGATGTATCGAGCTGGTTTCTAGTTTCAAATTGTACTCTCATACTCAAATCATACTCAATCACTTCAGGACTTCCGAGTCGTATCGCTGTTCTCAATTGAAGCTACTTTGTTCAATGTGTCTACTGCCAGCCTTGAGCTCCACAGGGCCAATTGAGTGAAAGCGAGACTCCTACCCCTGAATGCGACACACACATAACGTGTTTTCACAGTCTATATCATTTTGGACCCGAGGAATAGCACATTGTCATCATCACAGTTCGTTGTTGAGAACGTTCATCCGCGCCACTTCCTGTCTAGGTATCTATTGAATTTCCGTCGGAGCGAGGCACCTTTCACACAACATTCATTTAAGATTTGGGGAAAAGAAAAAGAGGAAAGAAATGGTCGAAGACGTTAAGTCATCGACAGAAAATTTGGGTATAGAAGGTTGAATCCTAAACTAAAAAAAAAAAGGAAAAGATTTTTTGTTTAAACTTGGTGGTTTGGCCTTCGACATATATATTTTATGTCCTCAGTCCCGTGATGTCGGACGGGACCTTGATTTAGTATGACTGCGTGGTGGAGAGATTTTAGTTGGAGGGGGTGTAGGTCTGCTTGGGGAAGGGGAAGCTAGAAGTGGAAGAATGGAGGTTAGCCTATCACTCTGTAACCGTGAAACTGGGTTGTAGGCTAGGCCGGGAAACTTACGAAGGTCCCAGCTCCTGGATGCTCAGGGAAGCGAGCCACTGGCCGAGATCGATGCTCTCCTCGAGGGACTTGCCCTGGACAACACCGGCGCAGAAACCACCGGCGAAGGCATCACTATAGCAGAATCAGAATCAGGATTCTCAAATCACAGGGAAGAAGTCTCGGTTTACTCACCCAGCACCGTTGGTGTCGTTGATGCTGCTCTTGGGGATCTCGCGGACGGGGAACTGCTTGACCTCGACTTCGCCGTTGGGCTTGACGGTGGCGGCGACGGTGGGATCGGTGCCCTGGGTCACGATGGCAACGCGGGGACGGCTGGTGTTCTTCTTGGGGAGCTGAGCCAGCTTCTTGGCGATCTCAACCACATCCTCGGTGCCCCATTCGTGGCTCTCGGCGTAGGAACGAGCCTCGGTCTCGTTGCAGAAGGTGTAGTCGGTGTAGGGCAGGACGCTGTCGAGCTGCTCCTTGAAGAACTGCGGGATGAAAGGAGCCGAGAGGGACAGCATGAAGACCTTGTTCTTGGCGGCAGCCTCCTCGCCCAAAGCCTGGATGGCAGGAACGCTGACGGTCAAGTGGTAGCCACCGACATAGTAGAACTGGGCCTTCTCGACGAGAGACCAGACGTGGGGCTGCTTCAGGTGGTCAAGCTTGTACTCGTTGGCGGCAGCAAGGTGAGTGCACATGCTACGGTTGTGGCCGGTGATGATGACACCGCACTTGCCGGTGGGCTGAACATCATCGATACGGTATTCGGTGTGGACACCAGCCTTGGCGCAGGCCTCCTTCAGGATATCGGCGTACTTGTCCTTGCCGACACAGCCAATGTACATGACGGAGTTCTCGGGAAGGATGTACTAAATCCGCCTGGCGGTTAGTAAATAGTCTCCGACCCGGGAACGGAGAATATGATGAGACTCATACCTGAGCACCACGAGCAGTGTTCTGAGCGGCACCACCAGCAATAAGCTTGGCATCAAGGCCGAGGAGCTCCTCATACAGGCCCATGTGCTTATCTTCGGCGAGGATAGCATCGTTGTCCTTCAGGCCATACTTCTCCAGGAGAGCGGCATCACTATGCGGGGGTAAGAGTCAGCAAGGCTTGACTTTTGCAATAATGACACGATGAATTGAAAAGATGAGTAGATAGGAGATAAGTGACATACCCGACTGCCTGGATATCTGTATGCCTCATAAGCTTGATGTTAGCCTAAGCCTGGGGTCAACCCGGAATGGTGGGGGAGGGGCAAGAGGGGGGGGGGAGAAGGAGAAGATCCCACGCACCCAAGAGGGGGTTCTCGAGACACAACAAAGGGTAACCCTGAGCAGCAGCCATTGTGACAGGTGGAGGAGAAGTAAGTATGGGATGAATTGGGAGGGGGGAAGAAGAGGTTAGGGAGGGAGTGAGAGAGGGGGAGAAAGAGAGAGAATGAGACTCGGGAGGGCGTTCGGAGTAGTACTTAAACTGACTTAAACTGGCTGACGGGCGGAGGAGGGGCCGGCGGAGTCTGATTGGGCCGAGCAAAGGGAGTTCCTCCGGCCTCCGACCTTCAAGCTTCCCTTCAACTTGTCCGACGGAGAGCTCGCTGTTAATTGCTTTATATAACCAACACCCAAACAACGTTCCTCTCCTCCTCTCCCATCACAAAATCAAGTACTCACTCTCAATACCAATCATAACACCACAACACCACAATGACCGACCCTGTCCTCCAAATTCCCGAGGTCATCCAGACGGCTTCGATCAACCGAAACCCCTCGCCGGACCACGACGTCAACCCGCCGACCGCAGCCTCCGAAAAGCAGCCCGTGGTGGACGATGCTCCCTCCGAAGCTGGCAGCATCCCGTCCGACATCGTCGACCCTCGCCATATGGTCAGACCGGCCACCCGGCGCCATAATTTCCCCCCACTGCCCGACCTGCGCTTCGAACAGAGCTATCTCGCCAGCCTGCGTGGCGCCGATACCTGGGGAAGAGTTGCGTGGATCACCATCAGAGACCAGGTGAGTAACCTCCCACTCCCAGCCTCTCAATTCCCAGACAGACAGGAAGCATTCTCTAGGGGGATGCCCCTCCGTCAAAACTAGGTTGGAAATCTCCCGCTCACCTCCTCCATTTTTCCTTTCTCCCAACAGGTCCTCCTTCCTCTGATGCAGGGTACGCTCTGGACTCTGGCCCTCTCCGGCTGGCGCTTCTGGAACCGCAATGCCTCCCTCAGCGGACAGACCCTGGGCAGCAGAATCCGTCGATGGTGGTACGAGGTCAACAACTGGAAGCTCCCTCCTTTGGGCTCTGCCAGAGATCCTCGGGTGGCTGCCAAGGTAGATGACGTGAGTGTTTTTGCTAACCCCCCTTTTCTGCACGAACCCTCTACCGGATTTCTTTGACCCTCTGACATTCTCGGAGTTCCTGCAGTTCTACACGGCCCAGTTCTCGAATGCCGTCTAAACGATTCTGGTGCACTCTGAATGCGACCGAGTTGCTAAAAGACTGCTTATGTTCATTTGGAGGGGGGGGGGGTTCTTTTTGCATTTCGGGTGTTTAGCGTTACGGCGTTTGAATTCAATTCTATCAGGAAGCGGTGGATTCATGAAGCATACCCTTTTTTTTTCTTTCCTTCTTTGACATCATCAACCGGGCGTTGCATCCGAAGAGCCCTGGAGGTTTTATGCCCGTGGTGTTCTCGTTTTCCCCGGTTGTACTGTTTTGTCTGGTTAGCTAGATCATGCAATCTGTAGTTTTAGGTATATTTATGTATATATTGCATAAATGTCTCAGCTCCTGTTCTTAGACGGCGGGCTCAACCCGTACTGGCGGCATCTGGAGAGAAGAGCCATGTAGAAAGAGCCCATCCCAGACGAACGACATTCACATATCAGATGTAAGCATTAACATAGATCATCTCATTTATGAATAATGTATCTTTTTGCACGCCCCACGCCACTCAGAAATCGTGATTCACAATGTTACCTCCCCAGATTGACCCCTTCCATAGATATAGAGAAAAACGCCTAACAGATAGATCCCGTGTTTTGACCCGTATAGTTGACAGTTGACAGTTGACCAAAGGGAACGCTCTCGCAAATAATATTATCAGTGGTGAAGATAAAGAAAAATAGTTTCTCTGCTAAAGATAGCCGCTTGATAGCTCTAGTATCAATTGAAGGTGCTGCTGCTTATTGGATGGTTTCGCCCGCGACTTATACTGAAGCCCCAGGCGCAAGGGTATTGGTATGGGGACCAGTGCTGTTCGGCTCCGGAGGAACAGCCGCACTGGTTGCGGTGATCGGCTTCGTGCCAGATGGTTCGGTCCCTGGGGACGGGGAATGGGCATGCGGTGGATTGCCGGAAGATTGACTCAAGGCTTCGTGCTTGGTCTCGGAATGTTCCTCCGATGGTCGTTCAGTTTCAGCAGGATCTGCCGAGCTGCTCGTCTCCTTGCCTTTGTCCTTGTTGTATCGGAGCTGCACCACCAGGCTGGGTGGCTCGCCGTTCGCAATTTCTTCATCGCCGCTCGCCTCCTCTTCGTCATCCCCTTCAAAGTCATTGTCCTCTTCCTCCTCGCCGCCCTGCCATTCATTACCGCTTGACTGCGCCCCAGCGGAGCCTTCCTCCATCTCCTCATCCAGATCGTGATCGGTATACCCATTGGCCCGGTTCGCCCTCGATCGCGTGGGCCTGCCCTCGTCGCCGGTCTGGGCATCGTCCCGTTGCCCGGCGAGCAAGGACTCGCCGTACAGTCCGCCCGCGCGAGATCGTATTTGTCGGCCACTGGCTGTGTATCTGGGACCCGCTGGCTCTACGGGAGTAGACACCCCCGAGGTATTTCGTGTCGAGCGTCGCGTCGAGGGGAGGCCGTCGGAGAAGATGTCTTCATCGTCGGAGTAGGTGTATTTCAACTTCTTGCCGCGAGTGCGGCCTTCGTAGAGGGAGAAGCCAGGCTCGGGGCGAGCGAATTGTGCTTTCCGAGCAATCCGGTAGTCGCGGCGTTTGCGTTTCTGTTTTTATGGTGAGCGCAGGTCGTTAGCTTCCCAAGGGGGCGACCGAGACTTACCTCCTCTGAGCCTTCGAACCGAGGGATTGAGTTTCGGATCTTCTCGCTCAGCTTCTTGGAGTGGATATTCTTCTCCTCGTCAAGCTTGTCCGCGATGACCTTCAGCTCCGGGATGCTCCCCGCCACGCTCCACCAGGTGTTGGTTTTTAACGCCGGGTTGCTCTCGCGGTATAGTCTGAAGTGGGTGTCATCCAGGCCTTCAATGAGCCAGTATCGGCGCTTGAGGCCGTCGCGACCCCACGGCTGGACGGAGAGCGGTTGGTTGAGGTCGTCCTCGTGGCGTGCTTGCTTGTAGGATTCTTTGATCTTGGCTTGGACGGCGTCGGAGGAGGAAAGGGACCAGAGGATCAAGGTTTTGAGTAGGAGCAACTAGAGTGTGTCAGTGAGGTTGTGCTGGGGGATGCGACCGCGCGACATACGCGTTCTTCCGGCTTCATGGTTGTGAAGTTGTTACCCCCGTGCAGAGGATTCTTGCCTTGCCAAGCCCTAGGCCATTGGGGGGCATGCGTCTGGATCGCCTCCTCCAAGGGACGCGTGTAGTGGTTCCGACTGCGCATTGATCACCGAATGTTAGTCTTCTGTATGCACCGGAAGATTCAGAATGTAGGTGGTCAACCCGCCTTGGCGGACACCCCCATGGAGCGAATTCTGGGTTGCGGGCGGCGGTCATACTCCACATCTTTCTTCCTATTTAACACCAATCCTAGCAAGGCACAAAGCAGCCGTTCAATATGATCACCAGGGGTGCTCTCGGCGACACCTCTCTCAATATCCTGTGGTCCAAAGTGTGGTGTCGATCGCGGGAATACATCATGGAAACGCGCGCGGAACATCACAATGAACTAGGGATTGCGACAGGTCAGCACACTGGATCTCGGAAACGTGAACAACGCGTTGAAAGGGTTTCGGGGAGCCTCAAGCCGGTTAGCATTTCAGTGAGTCACATACTGCAATGTCGGAGTTGTCTGCTAGCACATATTCATGGGGTGGTGAGGGCTCCCGTTTCGGCGGCGGAGATTCGGATTCCTTCTTGAAGTACTTGGTAATTCCCACGGGCTCATCCACGGCCATAGACCCCGTCTCTTCATCCGACGGGGGTGCCGAGGAGAGCGACGAGAGTTCTGAATCGGAAAGAGACAGGTTCGACATGGTTGTGTGGCTGTCCGATGCTTGTGAGGAGGAGAGATGTTTGATACAAGGTCGAGCGGGCAGGTCCGCGGCGCAGAGAAGTTCTACTTTGCACTACGGTTGAAGCGCGGCTTTTACGCGCCTGGCGTTTCTGGCATCATCAAGAACAAGAAAACAGCCCTTATCCAGGGATGATCAGCACCCAATCAACACCAACCCTCCGGCGATAGTCTGGGTTTGCTTTGCATCAATGGCACATAGAACTGTATGATCCCTTCAATAGGTTCCAGGCAGCACGCGCATTATACGGAGGATATGTTGAAACATGGAGAGAGATCAAATTAAAGAAGTGGAATCATCGAACCTAGAGCGCCGTCTACTTGTACTGTATGCCTGGGTCAACAGGATGGCAAAATCAGAGGTCATTGTACATTGGGATTTCTCCAAGCTGACCATAGTCACAGGGGTGACGGAATTGCCAGGAGAAGATCGGGGTCGACCAGCACTGTGCTCTGGGAGATGTCTGTGGACCAACCAGAGGTATACCCTCATGTTCGGTCACCTAATAGGCATGAATGTCTGCCTGGACAGTGCGATGTACCTGGCAGGATGCACTTTCATGAATGGATATAGGCTCGCATGGACGCGTCAGGCGAGCCTAAACGGACTTGCCCCGCTCGCGGTATACCATGTTGCCAGGCGGCTTTCGATCCGTAATGGACAGCATGGATATGGACGCACGGGGCGTTGCGAACACCGAGGTACAGACCAAAAGCGTGCTAATCATGAATGCACAACTCGGCCTATCTGAGTTGCATCAACAAGGAAGTTCTCAGCTATTTGTTGCGACCGGATGTGGGTGTTCATCGGCCCATCCCGTATACCCAGAAGCTGGAAGGCTTCGGGACAAAATTGTACTACCAAACGCGGTCAGTTCATGAGGACAAACAGGATATACACGAATCAGCGCGACTCAGACACTGGTATCTGTCAATTGTACCCGGATTGAGTTGATAGTGCTCGATGAGCCGTGAATGACGCATCCCTCAAAGTGGAGTTTGTCGATAATATCATCATGGATGATGTATGTGCAGTAGTGTACTAACATGTAGGGTAAATAGTCGATAAGCGACTCGCAGTATGGAAAGAAGAGGTTCTTTTTATGGTATGGTAGGAGGGGTAAAGGTAAGCACAGTGGTGGTACGGGCAGGGCAGGGCAGTACATGTCTAAAGTCCGACATGCTTAACTTAGTACTCAGTTAGTAGTTACTGGACTGAGGGACGGGACAGGGAGAGCGACAGAGACGGTAATCGGCTCAAGTCCGCTTGCCGAATTGGTCCTCTTCAGCCTCCGTAGTGGCAGTGCCACAGTAGGTTTCAACAAACCGTGCAATTGCCCTACCTACGTTACCGGGCTTAGTCAGAAAGCGACCCGCGCCACACCCAAGTTGCAGCCACCGCTCACTCATACACGCTAGCCCCGACGCGGTTAGATTAGCGACTTCCACCCTAAAGCCCACACAGCCCTTCGTCGACGAATTCTCAACACCAACCCGACAAGGTCATCTTAGATTTGAGGTACGAGAACTCGAACTCTCCCACAACCAGGTCGCCGGCGGACTCCTCTTGAATACTAACACCAGGTCCCTATCTAGAAAGTCGCCATGGGTCGTGTGATCCGCAACCAGAGGAAGGGTCGTGGAAGCATTTTCAGTGAGTGCGACCGCAATATTCTCAAAATTCGAAATCTCCTGTGCCAGAATTCCGAAATGCTGATGCAAAAATCTCGACTGTAGCGGCCAACACCCGTCTCAACAAGGCCCCTGCCCAGTTCCGTGTCCTCGACTACGCTGAGCGTCATGGATACACTCGTGGTGTGGTGAAGGAGATCATCCACGACCCCGGCCGTGGTGCTCCTCTCGCCAAGGTCCAGTTCCGTCACCCCTACAAGTTCAAGCACGTTACCGAGACCTTCATTGCCAACGAGGGCATGTACACCGGTCAATTCATCTACGCCGGAAAGAACGCCACCCTGACTGTCGGCAACATCCTCCCCCTCGCCTCCGTTCCTGAGGGTACCGTTATCACCAACGTTGAGGAGAAGGCTGGCGACCGTGGTGCTCTTGGTCGTACCTCCGGTAACTACGTTACCGTCATTGGACACAACCCTGAGGAGGGCAAGACCCGTGTTAAGCTCCCCTCCGGTGCCAAGAAGGTCATCAAGAACACCGCCCGTGGTATGGTTGGTATCGTCGCTGGTGGTGGTCGTACCGACAAGCCTTTGCTCAGTACGTTTTCTCCTCCTTGAAAAGATTCTGGCTCCGACAACATAGGAGACCGGAGAAGGAAATTCTTTCGGGTGCGAATTGGCCGCTAACATCTTCCTACAGAGGCTTCTCGTGCCAAGCACAAGTTCGCCGTCAAGCGCAACTCTTGGCCCAAGACTCGTGGTGTTGCCATGAACCCCGTCGATCACGTAAGACTCCCCTTTTCTGGGCTGCATCGCGCAGTCGTGCTTGAACGAGATGGAATGGTTGCTGATATGTGTTTTCTCTACAGCCTCACGGTGGTGGTAACCACCAGCACATCGGTAAGGCTTCTACCATCTCCCGCTACGCCGCCCACGGTCAAAAAGCCGGTCTCATTGCTGCCCGGAGAACTGGTCTGCTCCGCGGTACCCAGAAGACCAAGGACTAAGCGGGTTCTGGTGTGGAGTTCTTTTTGTGACGGGTTGAAAATGCTCTTTTGCTATGAGGCATATGTACTTAGGCGACTGCGGATAATCTCCCATGCGTCCTTAGCCAGGTTAGGTTGTGGCCAACAAATATTTTCATGATGACCAAAGCAAAAGCAAAAACGGGTTAAAAATTCAACTCCTGTGCCTGTGCTTGAACACGTATCTCTGTTGCGGGGCTTGCTAGTGCGCTGTAGTGTAGGCGATGCAGTCGACGATTCTGACAGACGGAGCTGCTCTCCCTGTCAGTGTCATACTGAGGGCAGAATGTGTCCAACGGCATGAGTTCGTAGCGAGAAATATGTCTCGGGACTTGTGATTATGGTGTTATTTGCAGTCGCGCTCGTCAACGTTGTTCTACATACACTGCATGTGTGCTGCGGCCGCAAATTGTCGGATAGCATACACTTCTCCTTCAAACATAATCTCATGATACATTCATATAGACACTATTATTTACCAAGGAACCTATTGACTGACATAGGAATTATTCCCGCGCATTCCAGACTTCATCGGTTATCGTACCTAAATAAAAGTTCATGTAGACAAGATGTTGCGTTCAAAGTGACCAATCACAGCATTGAGACTTTTACCCTGAGCAGAAGTGTACTTGCACCCCCATCCATTCATCTCAAAAGACATATGCACTTTGAACCAAACCACCTCCAACCAACATCATCTCCCTGAACAATCCGCTCAACCAATGCCCGAAGCATCAGCACCCTCTCCCAATGGATCCAAAGCCACCACCCCTCAAGCTTCCTCCTCGCCTAATCCCTCCACCACCCGGTCTGGCCTGCGCCTCCGCGCGCTGGCAGGCCGTCGTCAAGCGTGATCCCACCGCCATCACATTTGTCTACGCCGTCCTAACGACCAAGATATACTGCCGCGCCTCCTGTCCTGCCCGGCTCGCGCGACGGGCCAACGTCCGCTTCTACGATCGGCCCTCCCAGGCAGAAAGGGCAGGGTTCCGGGCGTGTAAGCGCTGCAGACCCGAGACCCTGCAGACTGACGGCGGCGGCAGGAGCAGCAGCAGCGGTTGTAGTAGTCCTCAGGTTCAGCTGGTGCACCGAGCATGTCAGACGATCGGGTCGGCAGTCCAGTCAGGGTCGAAGCCCACGCTCCACATCCTTGCGACCGAGGCTGGGCTCACGTCCAGTCACTTTCATCGCGTGTTCAGGAAGGTCATGGGCGTTACGCCGGGGAGGTATGTTGCTGGGATGATGGAGAAAATGAAGGCTGGGTGGGTGGCAGCAGCGACAACGGCGACGGCGAAGACGGAGGTGTCGCTGTTGCAGCAGGAGAAGGAGGGGACGAACTACGGGGCGTCGGGAATAGGGACGGTGCGCCAGCTTCAGCCCTGCGCTGGCTTGGAGGTTGCTGTTGATGGGATTAGTTGTAGCGCCGACGTTGGGGAGGAGCTGATCCGGCCATGGAATGACTTTGATGCAGCATTGTTTGCCGCCGAGACTGGTTTCGTCTCCATGCAGGAGGTGCAGCCACTGGGTGAACTGCATGCTTGGCATGGGGTTGGCTTATTATTCGATGATCGTGATGGTTATGATGCTGCTGAATATGAGTAATCGATTAGTCTCTGGGAAATGGGTGTTAACTTATATGGTGTCACGGCATGATGGGCCTTCGGTTTTGATGGGTGACGTCGTTTTTTTGATGTTCATCTTTCGAACTTTGTCGTCGTTTGGGCTATTGTGGCTGCTCTTTCTACGGCCTAGGTGGCCATGATCCTTGTACTATACTATAGTTACATGTACTCGGGGCAGAAAAGTGGTTGATAGACGTCTTTGCTGGGCTGGATGAGTGTATCGACTTTATATATCTTCCCTCTATGGGGCCTGCCTCGGAATCAACTAAGAGGTGACTGCGTGGTTGATTACAGTACACCAATTGTCTATCAGAAGCCATAGTTGCGTCGGCAGTAATCCAGAGGAGAGAGGAGCCTCCCTGATCAACATAGATCAATTGAACAGCAAAGATTGGACTTCTAACATAGAAAAAAAAGGGTGGTTTCGTAAGTCGAAGAGCTCCGCAACGGGTAAGGATAATTCTACAAATACAGATTAGAATTGCACAGAGTAGCATTCGCATATGAAAATCCCCGGCTTTGGCTTTGGAGAATATCAGCTGTTTGTTTTCGATTGAAGTTTCCAGATGCATCGATAACATTTTGCATCATAATTTACATAGTATGATCTGCAAATGGTATGTTGAGCAATAGTCCAAGTAACCATCCATGATGGTGGATAGCATTTCCTTTCCAAGTTCCCACCCCGTATCTACCCGTAAGGGCACCCACCCACTGAAGAAGTCTGGAATACGCAGGCTCTCTCCATTGTGTATTTGAATCCATACATTTCATCCCAGCTACGAGGATCGCTTCGCGCCAGGGCCGTTCTCATCCGATACCTTTTTAGCAACTATAACTCTCCCCACAAGAGATACATATTCCGATATGATATGCTACAATATACTCAGTATCATCCTGCCGACGCGATGGGCAGGGATTGGCTGATGATCAATGCGCTTTTCGAGTATGATTGACACACCCTACGAAATCAAATCCAAGACATTCTTCATCACTGTTCCAAATGTCGTAACAGAGAAAGCACTTGTTCCCCCCCTTCTCCTCCCCAAACCCACCCTTGGTGTTTCTGTAAATAGAACTTCGTTTTGACTCGACTGTTCGAGCTGGTGGCAAAGCGAATCGCGGCCAATCCAAGTTTTTTTGACGGGCGTTCGGATCTCCACTTTAATGGCCCACCAACGCGTGTCACTTGCTTTGTTGTTGAAACTGTTCCAACCTATGAGGTTTGCGAATTGCCAGTGGAGTGATACACACAACCAAAGGTAGTACAACCCGAGCATGAGAAAGCCATTCAAGGTCGAGGTCCGACAATGGACGGATGAATGGGGGATTGGTACGAATACGATGGGCTGGGCATAATTAGTATTCCGGGCAGGTACTCCGTACTGTACTGTAGTTTAGCAGTCTACGGAGTAGTAAAGAACTGTACTAGTGATGCTCCTGTGTTTCAGCTACACCTCAAACAAACGCCTGGCGTTCTGGCCCCGCCTCCACCGGCTCCATTCCTTGATCAATTCGTACATCAAACTGCACTTTTCAGGGCTCAGGAGATATGACCATAAAGGAAAGATCGGAGAGGAACCATTTACGGAGTAATTTAGACGAATTGACTCATTTGCTGTCGAATATGGTCAACTATGGTTTTTTGAGTACGAATATGACGGAGCCACTGTAGTATGATCTTGGAACTCGACATTCTGGCCCCCCTCCCCCCTCACACCCCTCTTCTCACAGGGGACCTTTGTCCATCAGATTCACTCAGTGTTGGTGGGGGTGATTTGAATTGGCTAGGAAACCAAGAGGCAATGTGGCGCCTTTCGGTCCTACTGAGTACAGTCTCCGTACTGTAACTAACTTACCCCCAGTACTCCCGAGCCATTACGGAGAGTGCAGTACCTCACCTGCAGTACATCGG